GTCTTTTCAGCATTGTACCACTTCTTTATCTTTAATTAATTTTTTTCCTGGTACTCCTTTTCATATTTTTGAAAGGACTTAATCTTGATGTTTCAAAAACATGTAACACAATTTTGCCCACAAAACTTCCTAGAATTTGACAAGAGATTTTATGTCAGCAGAGGAGCTAGAGCTATTTGTTTCTTTGGTGCGAAAAATGTTTCTTTGTTCCTTTGTTTCTTTCTCATATATATGCATATATGAGATTTATTCTTGTTTAAAATGCTTTGTAATGATTTATAAGTAGGATGGATCACAGGAATCTTTCTGTTTATTGGGAAGATACAAACATCGTATTGTGGAGAACAGGCAGAAAGACACATTGCTGGTAAGAGATGCAGGATGTTATGTGCCATGCCTACAAAGGAATTTAATGATCAGCACTGTTTGCTGTCCAGTGACAGAAAACTCTGTGAGGAGGGGTTGAAAATGACTGTCATAATCCTGCCAGACCCAGTTCTTTGATTTGGAGCCTCACAGGTTGAATGTCTATTTCTGCTCACAGAAAGCCAGTGAAAGGTGACAAGCCATGCCCCAGACAAAGTGTGAAGCTCAGAGAGGTGTCTCAGCTGTCAGAGAAAGAGATCTGAGTCCTTGGGACCAGCTGCTGGAGGCTCAGCTGGACAATGTGCTTCCTTTAACTGTAATGCCAGTGCCTTTCTGACTGTTTGCTTTTGAGACTTCACCAGTGCTTCTGCCCTCATAGTACATTCCCAGCATTTCATCCAAATGTCATCAAACAAATAGTACCTGAACTGAAGCCTCACTTCATTTTGATTATAAAGTGTAGTTTTGTAAAGATATGGTTGGGTTGCAGCAGATGAAGACAGCTGCTAATGCAGGCTATTTCTGTACCGCATGTACCTGAAGACAAATGCTGGGCCCAACATGCATAAGGCATCTGGTTTTATTCCAGTGACATATGGCAGCTTCACAACCTTATCAAAAAGTCACCCTCACAGCAGCATAAGCCAAGGGCAAGGTCAATCAGCCAAATGCAGAGGGAATTACAGGTTTTATTATCTTCTCTGACCAAGAAGGTGCTTTGCAATCACAAGGAGTACTCACAAAGCTGGGTAATTTTGCAGAGGGCAAGCATACAGCTGCTGTGTTGTCGTTAAGTCTCCCATGCTTGTACATGACTGTGCTGTAAAAGATGAGGCAGACGGTGAATTACAGATGATGATTGCAGGGTTAGATAGGTCTCCATGACATATACACCTATAACTTTGGAAAATGCTCCTAAATATATGCTTTAACTTTTAGCTTCTCCTGTGTGGATTCAGGAGTTGGACTTGATGATCCTTGTGGCTACCTTCCAACTCAGAATATTCTATTATTATGTGATTCTAATTCACAGGGTTACTTAACATGTGAGCCAGCCTGCTGTATTATATTACCCTTCCAACTGATGGAAGAAAAAATATAAAGTTGCTGTATATTTGCTCAGCTGTATGAAATTTGTGGGTGTAATGGCCTGACACTATGAGAGTTAATGAAAGATGAATAGCAAAATACAACCTTAGCAATCTCAAATATGCCGATTAAAAACAAAAAGGACCCCCAAATAACTCTGGATAAACAAGTGTGGGAAATTGCTTCTAATTCTGTTTTGGCTGGCTTCTGTCTAGGTGAGAGAAGGCTATTGGCACCTATAGGTACCATTAGCACTTCTCAGGGGCAACTGAAACCCATATCTCCTTGATGGGCATAAAGTCATCTCAAGAGATAACCATCAGATACTCAGAGAGACACATAAGTGACAATTCCTCAGTATCTGGTACCTGGAAGTTAGCTTTTACAGGTTTGAACGTGCACCTTGGTGCACTACATGGCCTTATGCAAAAGGAATCCCTTCCTTTAAATGGGCAGCGTGTTAAGGGCAGATGGCAGCATCCCCTGCAGGTCTGTGCCTAGCAGCAGAGCTCCAGCTCCCGGGCTCTTGGCTGCAGAAAAGGCAGTCTCTCCACCACGTTCTTACTCGGTTTGGGCTCTTATCAGCTGCGGCATGCCCCTAGGAGTGATGGAGGCTGGAGCAATTGCAAGGGCGAAGCCACTGAGACCAGCTGCAGGCAGCACCATTTGTTTTCGTTCTGGAGTCAGCTGCAAAGAGGAAAAGATCTTGGGCTCTTGGGGCCCTGTGGATGATCCGATAAATACTTCTCTTTGAGAGCCTTCCTGCTGCCCAAGTAGGGCTGCATACAGAGAAGGCACATGCATGAACTTGCTGCGACAGATGCCTGCTTTGCTGGGATGTGCCATGTTTGACAGAGTAGTCGTCTGCGAGTTAGCGTGGAGCTGAAGAGTAAGCATTGCTGTTTGCTATAAACAAACCTTAGCAAAGTGCCTGTAATTGCACTGTTAGAAGGGAGGCCAGGCCTAGATGGTAACAGGGGAGGAAAATAATGCTTTCTTTTATCTGCTCTTGCAGACAGCTGGAGACAGATAAAAGCGGAGACAGTTTTAACCTAAGCAAAGATTGTGACTGTATGCTTTCCTTTGTTCCTCAGTGCTTTCTGTTTTCCTCCCTCTAAGTTACATTTTTATTTGCAAATGAGACTATGCATGGGGCAGCTTCTGCATGCTTTTTCATTTTCCACTCTTCTTCTTTTTCTTTAACTTAGGGAGATAGGTTTTTCTTCTAATTTGACTCCTGTGGCTGCCTCTGCTTCAGAGTATGTGAGTAACACAGACTGAACTTCTACCTACGCCTCACCAATTCCAGAGCTCTGAGAAAAAGACTATATGAATATCATCCACAGCTGACACTGAGGGAGTAGTTTTGCCATAGTATGGTTGATATGAAACCATCCTGAAGCAGAATTTTCAGATTTTCCAGTAATAGAATGCAATGGGATAAGATAGAGAGAAAGGGAACTGTTATCTTAAAATCAAAGAAACAAAAACTGTTTTTTCATCCAGAGAAAATTTTCAAATTCTGGCATTCAGAGTCAGTAATAAATTGCACTGACATGATTAAAACTACTTATGCATCTAAGTTCCCCATGCAGTGCTTTGAGACTGTAGAAACAGGACCGTGCATCTAATCTGATGCCCTGCACTAATATTTTGGTATGGCAGAGAAATACTTTTTTTGCTAGACATTTCAGTTTGTCTAATTCTGCAAATCAGACCAACCCAATAATGAATAGCCTCATCGGGGTGACTCTTGCAGGCACAGAGGTTCATCTACATACAGAGTTATTCCAGTTCAGCTTTGCATGATTAAATCTGCTGTGGGTGTTATTGAAACAGAAATAGCTGTTCTGTTGTAAAACCTGTATTAAAACACTTTTTCTTTTGTTAATTGCAATCTTTAATGGCTCTGTATATTTTCTACAGGGATAAAAAATAAATATTACTTCAGATGTATTTTTACTGTGCTATGTATTTTCCTTTAAAAAGTAAAGACTATTTGAAGACTTTACAAGCTGTATTGCTTACAGACTTCTCAGGTATACTTTATAGCATACCTGAATGATATGGAAACCAAGATGATTTCACAATGGCATTCCTGAAATTTCAGCCTCTGTAAAATAAAGGCACAGATATTTTCCTCCAGCTGTTCTCTTTGATATATATTTATATCCTAAGATGGTCTGTGGAAACACAGGCTGATGGGTACAGACCAATTTGTGTGAAATAATGACAAAAGGACCATTTCTAGTTAGTGTATCTTATGTGAAGTGTGAGAAGACTTGTCTCTCAGCACAAGTCTGGGGCTGGGAAGGAGTAGTCTGAATATTTGCAGTATTGAACATGAATATGTTTCTATACAATAACTCTCTAAAAAAGTCTCATTCTGAGTAGTCATATATTAAAAGGCAGGCACTACATTGTGTAATTTGGTATTGCATCCTTTTCTCCTTAAGAACTGGATTGGCTTGATTTGCAGCACCAAATAAATAAGAAAGGATTAAAATTTTAAGGATTAAATATATTGAATTTTTAAAAGACATTAAGAATTTTCTTTATCAGTAATGTCTTTATAGTCAATAAAATTATGAATCTGATTGTTTCAATGTGGTACTTCCTCTCCAAAAGGATGAAGATACATTTTAGGTTTATCTTTGTTTTTTTTTTTTTTTCAAAACAAACCTGTTTCTGCTTTATAAATTTGCGTTAAAATGCACTTACAAACATTTTGTATTTTACAACCAAGCTATACAAAGTTTTAAATTATATATAAATCAATATATAATTGGTTATTGCTGTAGAAAAAGTTAAGCAAAGTTGCCCTTTGCTGTCACTTTATAAAAGGAGACATTCATATTTCTAGGGTATAAAGTAAATCCCCAAAAGACAAATAACCATCCCTTATGGGTTCTTAGTAGACATACGATTCCTACCAGGCAGATTATGCATATATACAATTTTGCTATAATAAATAAGAAAGAAGAAGAAAGAGGAAGAAGAAAGACTATGTAACTTTTACAATTCTTTATATTAGAGCTTGAAAGATATCTACTCTTAAACCCCTCCTTATGGCTTCAAATTACTGTTTGCTCATTCTACCCTGTGCTTTTCTTACAAGATAAAATATAATGACAAATGGTAGATAAGAATTTTCAAGTTTAAATAAAGTTAAACAAAAAGTTTTCAGAAATGAAATAAGTTTTATTTGTTATAAGAGTTGTACTGTGTACAAAAGAAATTACTATAACTTACAATACTTCAGGCATAGAATATTGGGGGTGTTGCTTCCACTGGAAGAGCAGTATTTTGAAAATAAAGAATCGTTAGAATCAGACATTGATAGCAGTATTAATATAATAATATAATAATAAATACTTCATATTCATATAATCTGAATTTATAATAACCCAGGTATTTCAGCATTAACTAATACATCTTAGTCTGCCTCCAACATGCAGGTAGAAGAGTCTTCTGTAGCTCATAGAAGAAATGTATGATTCATGGTGAGGGTTCCATCAACCCTGAGTATTTCCCCTTGTCCAGTTTCACAGCTGCCAGCTAGCAGAACTCCAGAGGATGGCGAGCAGGCAAGTGACTGAAATCACTGTTTGCTGTAATCTTAAACCATTAGAATACAGTCTGATAATTTCCTCTGTTTCCGATGTCAGTTCTTAAAAGAAAAAAAATCAAGAAAATAAAATGGCTAATGAGTAAGTAGGTAAATTTGAAAACATAAGGTTTTTCAACATACTTGAAAAGTCCTCTGACATCTCACAGGTACTTAAGTTAAAGGTATCAGCTGTTAAAGCCAATCAAAGGGACTATTCTCAGGGGAGAGATGTAAATAGATGTCCTATCAATGATCGTTTGAGGAGCAACTGATAGCACTTATCAGCTCTTGCCGGCAATAATCTCAGAATAATCAAAAGTAAATACCAGGCAAAAGCAAGAGGAAGAGCTTTGCAAGAGGTGAGCACTCAAGCCTGAATGTCGGCTTTTAACCCTTCCTTTAACAAGGGACTTAGCTTGTAGCAAAAGCAGAGGAGCCATACCCTCTTGTACGTGAAAGCCACGGAGTCCCTGCTCAGAGGATTCTCTCTCTACTGAGACCTTAATTGCCTTTCTTAAACTGAGTTTAAGAGCAGCAAGCAGTTGATTGCTTTTACGGAGCATAGGGTGACCCATAATGTCTTTTGCTCCAGTATGAGGAGCAATGGGGCTGATTCAATGCTAAGCATGTAAAAAGTTTATTGAGCGTGTTGTCTGATACATTTAACTGCTCAATGCAGAAGACTTGGAGGAAAAAGCTGTTCTGGTGGATTTTTTTTTTTTTCTGTCTAGGGTTACAAAGGTAGGAATGTCACCTTTTTAATGTTTTGATTTACATCTGAGTTGGTGCTACAACTCAGAAGTCACAGCTTCAAGGCATTGATACTCAGGCAGGAATCTGGTCAGGAAACGAGAGACTGCTTGGGGTGCAAATGAATCTTGAAACCCTTTAGGTCTGTTGTTTTCTTACCCTGCTAAGGAGTGATCTTGGCACAACTGAAGGAAAGCGCAAGATAGGATTGAGATATGGGTGGAAAGGGCAAGAATATTTTGCACTGACTTTGCCACAGAAGAGAAAATATTATTCAATCCTTATTAGTGATCTTTAGAGTATTGAGAACAGACTGGATCAATCAATTCTCCATGGAAAATAATACCAGTATAACAATTCTTTAAATCCTTATGCTAGTTGATAGACTGTTTTCAAAAATATTCAACCATTTATTCAGGGAATTTCACAGGCTGATGTAGTAAGACTTCACTTAAAATGATAGAATGCTTTTTAGGAGACTAGGTGGCACAACTTTACATTGATCAGAATAATGGTTACACATTTTTTAGTGAGGAGTGTGTTCAGACTTAAAACTCATACAAGAATATTCTGAAGATTGAGATACAGATCTTAAAAAAATATTCAATTAGTTTTGAGTCATTTAAGCATGATGATTGATGATTCTGTGTATTTAGTAGACACAACTTTATTCTCTAGTGAAATTCCAGTTTCTATTTCCTCCACACCAGTATACACTACTGTTTTTTCTCTTTGCCTTAGAAACATGTGTTGTGCTTGGATTTAGCTTAGTTGTACAAATTGTCCTGGTTAAGTGGGAAATCATAGACGTACAGATTTTGCAGAACAGATAAGTGTTTAACCTCTGTAATTTTCAATTAAAACGGTGGGAAGTTTCCTACTGTACAGAATTATGAATATCTGAAAGTGTCTTTTGTGCTGTACTATATAGTCAAAGAGCAGTGCTTCTTACTGTCTCACTAATTCCTTCTCTAAAGCAAAGCAACCCACTGTAGAAGTCCAACTAGGGCACATACTGCATCCTCCAAGTACCCCACCACTGCAGAAGGCAATTCTGCCACCCAGGAGTGAAAAATGTTTGATTTAGTGCCATTTCTTACCGCAGTTACTCTGCCTTATTTCCGAGAGGCAGTGCAGGGTACCATAGGCACACCGACACAGCCAGCAGTCCTTCAGCACCCAGACGCCGTGGGGAATGCTGCCGCAGTTTCTGTCAACGACAAGGGCGACATTCTGTACATCTCTGACCCCAGCACAGAAAACAACCCTTCAGAGCACCACACTCATCTCCTCTGACTTCGGACAGGTTTTTTTTTTTTACCCTAGCCGCTCATCATATTCGCAGTGTCTGCCGGTGAAGTACTTCAGGCAGGCACAGAAGGTCCCCAGGATACAAGTCCCTCCATTCTGGCAGCAGCGTCTGTTCAGTTTTTTACCTACAAGACAATATTTACAGAGGTTAACAAGCATCTCAGGGGCTCTGGACCTCACCTTTTCCTCACTTGTTCTCTCAGGTCTCTCCAGTTCCCAAAGTCTCTTAAGGATATCTAGTTTTATTGTCTTTAGAGACAATAAAATTATATGCCTGTTAAGAGTGTTTGTTCAGCTAAACCCAGTTTGTTTAGTTAAGGATTAGAAACAAGCTACTAGGGATTACAGGATGGTGAAGAAGCAACGCCTGGCAAATTCTGTAGCAGCAGGATGTGTTCAAGTGAAATATTTCACTGTGACAGATGCAGGTTTCAACCACACTAAGAAATGAGACATTTTTATTGGGAAGTGACACCTATTTTTGAATAAAAACTGGGAAGTTACTTGGCTTTGAAGTGGAGGAAATGCTCCCTTAAGCCTTTCTCAGAGTCCTGGGGTTGAGCACCAATCTAAAACTTTATATATGGGAGGAAACAGAATACATTTTTTTTGCTGTTAGTACTGTTGCTTTCAGGTGGCTCAAAACTGTTTTATAAAATTAACATTTTTATGGCCATTAAATATCGTGAATTCTAAACAATAAAAAGAATGTTACAAAATTTTACAGATGCTCTTGTAAACACGAAGTGCCAAGCACTTCTTCATTATTAATATTCTTCCTTGTTTTTCCTTAACAATTTTGCAAGTGAGAGATCTTAAGTTCTACCTTAAATTTTTATCATCACTTATCAGGTGGCCATGGGTATAATTGAAATGGGTGGTCACAGAAAACCAACAGGCTGGAATTTTCCGGGACAACAGTTAAAGCAATACTATATTAAAATTTTTAAAAGTAATTTTATGTCATTGTTTACAAAAATAATGTTACTTACTCTCTGTAATTCCAGTGAAAGGCACTAAAGACCTGGAACTCTGTTGCTTTCTACTTTCGTAACTCTGATTCATATCACTGAGCGCATTTGTAAAGGTCCCTTCGTTCTTGGGCTGCTGCTTTAGTGCTGTAGCATTGAGACCTTTCACAACTGCTTTCCGTTCTTCTTTTTCAGGGCCTAGACACGAAGTGCAAATATGTCAGGGAAAGGTAGTTTGTGATGAAAAAATGCGTACTGTAAATGTAGAAGAAAAACACAGGGTAGCGGGGAGAAATATGAAGGTCACTTACTTTTTTCTAAATGAACAGCCTGCCAGACCAGAGTCAAAGTGAAAAGAATTCTGTAAAAAATTTTTTAAAAAAGAGAGAGAAAAAAAAGATCAAACGAGAAGTAAATTTGTGCTAATAAGACACAAAACGAATGGTGAGTGCGTGAACTTGTAAAAGGAATGAGCATCCCTGGCTAGAGAGGGTCCCCGACATCTCAAGCAAACTTACCTAACATGATTTCCCCAGTACATTTTCCTGCAGCCAGAAATAGCCGTGAGGTCCTCCGGGAGAGCTTGAGCAGAAGGAAGATGTCCAGAGCCCGCTGCTTCAGGCTGCTGCACCGCAGACACGGACGGACGGACAGGGAGAGCGGGGCTGGCGAAGTTTCCCTCCTGCCGTCCAGCTCGCAGTAAGGCTCAGTCTCCAGCCGGCCGAGAACATCCCTCGGGGCTGGGACTCCCCGGCCAGCCCCCGATTTACACGCACTGCTGGAGGGTGGAGCAAGGAGGGGACACCTACTGCTGGGGGCAGAATTGAGTGCCCATGGGCCCAGCCGAAAGAACAAGGCTGGATGGTCTCAGGCCCAGTGAATTTCCCAAGACAGAAAAATTTGTACCACCATATAGTGCATAGGAAAAACAAACAAACAAACAAACAAACAAACAAACAAACATTAACCAGAACTGCAATAGGTATATCATAAATGGGAGTAGGTATATATGAGGAAGGTTAAAAAGCCTCAGCTCTACCTACATGCCTTGTCTCTGCCAGGGTTTTCCACCAGGGATCTGCTTTATGAGATTGTACTGCTTTGCAGCAGAGATCCTTAAAACCTGCTTTTGAGATTTCTACTAAATATACTGGAAAAAGCAGTATAAGGTCCTTGAGGGAGGATTGTTGTCTCACCAGAGCTGTTCATAACCGTTTGAAACATTTTCTGAAAATTTTTACTGTTAATAAAATCAGGCCCATTAGTGGGTATTCCTACTCTGAGTTTATGCAGTAGCAGCAGATACCTGGGTATTATTTACTGTGTGTACTGAAATGGGCTAGGACCACACACATGGCTTTGCTATGGCTCAGTGTCATGAGCAGAAAGACCTGCAGCTGGGCAGTGCTAAAAAAACAGCTCTAGGCAGGCTTTTCTCATCACATTTCCACATTTTGTACCACCAAGTGCACATGGCCTTTGCTTAAGTTGTGGCAGGAAACTGAAGCAATACAACTTGTTTTGTTTCAGAGGGGCATTAGAAGAGGGATGTTTTCACTGCATCACTGCCAACCAAGGTAGTACAAGTTTCACCTTGGCTAGATCCAAGATCACATCAGAAGTATGGGTCAGACCTCACTGAAGAAATGGCTGCACTGACTAAAGACTTCATCCCTTGTTTGTAAGTCCCTGTGGCTGTCACTTGCCAGATTTGCCCCATCTGAATGAATGGTTTGGAAGCTGTAATAACTTCTCATCCAATTTGGTACAAAGACTGGCTTAATTTACAAAGATAGCTGTCCTAATTAAAGTTAACCCTCTTGGCACTAAAGAGGCACTAAAGCAGATGGAGAGTGTTTTTAAGACATGTTCTCTTACACAACTGTACAGTGCATGGGTAACAAGCAAGAGGAGTTGAAAACTATTGTGAAATTAGAAAACTGTGCCGTAATTTCTATCATGCAAACACTGGGGAAAGTCATACAACTGGAAGACTGCAATCAAGAGCTACAAGATATTCAGAAGCTCTTTATCTCCAAATTGGAGACACCGGAATTTGATGGATGGACAGTTCAATGGATAAAGAGTTGGCTGGCTGTAGCCAGGGAGTTGTGGTCAATGCCTCTGTGTTGAGGTGGAGGCCGGTGATGAGTGATGTCCTCAGGCTCTGTTTTGAGAGCACTGCTCTGCAATGTTTACCTCAATGACACAGATAGTGGGATCGAGTGCAATCTCAGCAAGTTTGCAAATGACACAAATCTGAGCAGTGCAGTTGACACAACAGAAGAATGGGATGCCATCCAAAGGGACATGGACAAGATTGAGAGTTGGGCCCATGAAGTTCAACAACAAGTCCAACTGCAAGGTGCTGCATGTGAGCTGGGGCAATCCCAGACCTGAGAACAAATGGGGAGAAGAACTTACTGAGAGCATACTTGTGGGGTTGGGTATTCTAGAAGATAAAAGCTGGATATGATCCTACATCAAGTGCTTGCATATCAGAAAGCCAAAAACATCCCGGGCTGCATCAAATGTGTGTATTACAGGTTGAGGGAGGGGATTCTTCCCCTCTGCTCTGCCCTGCTGAGACCTCACCTGGAGCACTGCATCCAAGTCTGGGGTCCCCAGCACTGGAGGGATGTGAGCCTGTTGGAGTAGCTCCAGAGGAAGCCACGAGGTGTTCTGAGGGATCTGCACCTCTCCTATGAAGAGAGGTGGAGAGATCTGGGGCAGTTCTGCCTGGAGAAGAGAGGGCTCTGAAAAGCCCTCATTATGATCTTCCAGTACCTTAAGGGAAGTTGAAAAAAGGAGAGGGAGGACCTTTTTATATGGTGAGATAGTGACAGGACAAAGGATAATGGTTTTAAAGTGAAAAGGGGCAGGTTTAGATTAGCTATTAGGAAGATATTCTTTACTGTGAGGGTGTGGAGGCCCTGGTGCAGATTGCCCAGAGAAGTTGTGGCTTACCTATCCCTGGTGGTGTTCAAGGATAGGCTGGATGATGCCCTTAGCAAACTGGTCTAGTGGAAGGTATCCCTCATTATGACAGGGACGTTGGAACTCACTGATCTTTGGGGGTCCCTTCCAGCCCCAGCACATTCTATGATTCTATGATCACATGTTCTTTCCTGTCTTCTGGGGGTACACTGGTCTTCAGCAAGAGGACAGAAGAGCATTGCTGAAGATTTAAAATGGCTCTTCCCTCAGGGAATGCTTGCAGGGAGTGCTCTGCAGGGCTACACCTGTCTTAGGGGATCAGGCATTCCCTGTGCTGCTGCAACAATTGGCTCCAATTGTTCTAAGCTCAACCATTTTCTTGTAGACACAGGCTAACCCTTTGGCTTCATGGCATCTTTTTTCATGGTGTGCTTTATGTTGCTAACTTAAACAGATTTAGATGAAGCTATATTCTTGTTCCAGACTTTCATTGAAGTACCGTGCCTTTTAGAATTGAGAGTGCGTGATGTACATTGTGTGCAATTCAGCTAAATCAGCGCCAGAACTTTCATCCTAACATTTGTGGGTAAGATGTTTCACAGAAAGCATGTTATGATAAAATCACAACATGTCAATTCGAGAAGGGATTTTGGTTTTCCTGTCTTCTCTTTCTTTCTCTTTCTCTTCTCTTTGAAGAGACAGATTACTCTCACCATTATGCCGTCTGCCCCTGCCTGCTATGATTGACAAGGGCTTCTAAACTAAACTTGTAAAACTTTAGGTGCTTGCTTAAAACATATCATATTTTAAATACTGTCATAACAACAAATACTGTTCTGAATTAGGACTATAAAATGTTTCACACAAATAAAGGAGATGTCATTTTTGCATGTATTCAGAAAAGATGTATGTACTATCCACACTTGAAAATGTTTACTTTTGGAAAATACTTACAATTTGAACAACTCTTGTTTCCATTTGAGTTCTCTAACTGTATAATGGGGCTAGTATTTTTACTTTTAAAAGAAGAGCTGTAGTTACAGTTATTCTAGGGTTTATTTGCTAGTGCATTAAGAAAAAAATATTATTTTCAGTTAGGTCTAACCTGTAGTATCACTTTAAGTTACAATATTCAGATACATAAATGCTGTCACTTACTATTTAAATTCTTGTTTCCTTATTCCACAGATGGAAGACAGAAAAAACATAAAGAGAGATACATAAATAGAGGAACATCACATTGTATTTTTTTTCACTAAAATGCAGTGTCAATGTAGTTCTCCTGGAGAGTTTTATGGGTACCAAATTCCCTGCCCTACATTAGTTAAATGCATTAAAATGCAGCTGCCAGTGAAGAAATATTGATCAATTTTCCTACCCTGTGCTATTTGCTTAAGATCAGAAGCCATTCCTGCAACTGCAGGAGCCAACAACCTAGAAGAACTGTAGATGTCTAAACATTCCTTGCTTTTGGTATCTTGTTTCTTCCTTCTCCCCACAGCCTCACCATCAAGACAGGCAGAGGAATGGGGACAGGGGAAACTGCTCAGATGCTGCTGTTGCCTGACTGCACCAGAGGTGAGATCGCTGCAGGAAAGTGCTGCTGTTTGTTGTTGACAGAATCTGCCAGAGAGTGATTGCTTCTGCCCAGGGATTTGTGAGGAGCTGCAGTAAGGGTAGACGCACTCCTTTTATCAGCTTCAAGTAAGATAAGAGTGGAGCCAACCAAAGTGCTGCTGCTCCTGAGCATTTCAATCAAGCCCTGCATACACAGGAGATGGGTAACCATTAATTAGGGGTGTTCAGCACAGTTAGTTCTGACAACAGATCAGGTAGCCTGTGTGGCTAAGTGTGATAGGAAAATGTGGTGCTACTTTATTGATGCCCAAAATTCCTCTTGTGCTCATACCAGGAACTGTAGGTCGGTGGGTGGCCTGCTTCTTCTGGCCCTCTCCCAAAATGCAAGTGAGCCACTTGCGTTTTGTCACTGAGAGCTGAAGTGTGGATAACACATGCTGGGTTTTGGTATTAGTGTTTCATTCCGACTGTGTTGCTCTGTAGCTACTCTGTGTTTCTGTAAACTTCAGGATAAATAGATGCCTAAAGACTGGAAGCAGCATTGGAGCAGCCAGAAGCAAGGATGAAGAAAATGTGAATGTTCCTGGTAGCACTTTGAAAACCTTTTCAGGGTCTGCTCAGCTCTGGTCAGTGCAGCCAAAATATCTGCTGACTAGAAATCTTTGGATTCCAAAATTCCAGCTTTGGGTTAGCACTAGATCTCTAACCACACTGGGCAATGTTAAATCAGCTATGCAGAATATTATGGAAAATAGCTAAAAACATTGAGCCTCCATGAATATTTATTGAAATATTGGAATTCTAGGCTTCTGTGAAGGAAAACTCTCAGTCAGGGTGACTTACACTTCTCTGAGGAAAGGGCAGACCATGGGAAATCTCGACTGGGATGTCTCAGAGAGTGTTTAACTCATTATATTTTGAGCATAGTGGAGAGAAAGACTAATACTAGCCAGCCTGAGAGTTGTTTCTTTTTTTTATGCTCTTTAGCTTGCCACTAAGGCTTTTGACATCTACCCAAGTGCTTTTTTCTTTCTAAAGGCT